GCAAGGGTGCGACGAATGAATCGTCGGGTGGGAGCGAGCATCGCGGCAAGTGTCACTATTGCCGCAAACCGGGACACTTTTGGCGTGAGTGTCGGAAGCGCCCGAGCGATTGGACTCCATCGAAGGCGCGGGACGAAGAGGGCAACGCGCACACGGCATACGGCGAGGCCGATGATTCAAAGGAGTCGCTCGTGTTAGTGGCCGGCAACGGGAACAAAACTCCAAGCGACGCGTGGTTCCTCGATACCGGCGCAACGCAACACATGACGCACTCGGCGTCGCTCCTCAACAACATTGGCGCTCCGGGAGACGTCACGAGCATCGTGTTCGGAAACAACGAATCTCTACCGGTGGTTGGAGTTGGGAGTACGCGCCTCATCGTCGATAGCGGACCGGTGGACGTCACGAACGTGCTTCACGTCCCGGGGGTGAAGGTGAACCTTCTATCCGTCCCGCAACTGGCGAAGAAGGGCGTGATCGCCACCATCGACGGTGCGAAGATGAACCTCTTTTAGAAGGGGGAGCAATTCGCGCAAGGGGTTCTCAATGGAGATATCTACCAACTCAAGACGTACCCAAGAGTGGCTTCATCGAACGTGGCGCAAGGCTCCAAGGCAACTCTTAAGGCGTGGCATGATCGACTTGCGCACGCCAATTACGACTCGGTCAAGGAGTTGGCCAACAAAGGACTTGCGAAGGGACTTGACGTGATCGCCAGCGACGACGAGAAGGGCGTGTGCGCGGCGTGTGTCGAAGGAAAAATGGCTCGCAAGCCATTTGGTAGCCGAACGTCACCCCTCGCTAAGGACCCGCTTGCGCTTGTTCACATGGACGTGTGTGGACCGATGCGACATGCATCAAAGGGAGGAGCGCGGTTCCTCTTGGTGATGCTCGACGACGCGACGCGGATGTGTTGGACCCGACTCTTGAAGGCTAAGGGAGATGCGGCCAAGGCGATTCAAGAGTGGGCGCTCGATGTTTGCGACGACGACAAGAAGCGGATCAAGTGTATTCGCACCGACGGTGGGGGCGAATTCGTGAACGCGGAGCTTGAGAAATGGATGAAGAGCAAGGGCATAAAGCATGACGTCACGACACCCTACACACCCCAACAAAATGGAGCGGCAGAGCGGCTTAATCGCACGTTGGTGGAAGCCGTTTGTTCACTACTTCAACACTCCAAGCTTGGGAACGAGTGGTGGGGAGAGGCGAGTGCGCTAGCGGCATGGATTCGTAATCGTGTGCCGACAAAGGTGCTACCGGGAATGAATCCGTTCGAAGCATGGACCGGAACGAAGCCGAACCTATCCCGCCTACGCACCTTTGGGTGCCTTTGCTACTACCATATACCGGATCCTCTTCGCCACAAGTTGCAACCGAAAGCTCGTGCGGCGATCTTCTTGGGAGTTGCGCCAAATGAGCGTGCATGGCGAGTGTGGGACTTGGGTGAAAAGCGTGTCGTCACGTCTCGGGACGTGGTCTTCGATGAAGATAAGTTCCCGTCGAAGGAGAAACCCACTCAACAACTCACTTTCATCCTTCCGCCACGAGAGGAGGTTGAAGAGAGTGAGACTCCACCTCAAGTGGAGAAGGAAGCCGATGGAGGGGGAGAGAACAACGAGGAGAGCGTTGATGATGTCGTGGAGGTGTCACCTACCGAGGCGGCAACTACCTCCACACCTTCCTCCCTACCATTGGCCTTGACCCGCGAGCGTCGTGAGGTTCGTCCTCCCTCCAAGTACGCCGACTATGCTACGGTAGCCGTTGGGAAGTTGGATAAGGAGGGGGCGGCATTTTGCTTCGCAACCATGGGTGATGATGAACACATGGATCCTCTCATGGAACTACCCCCTAAAGATCCGTCCCGTGCATGCTACGAGCATGCTGGATTGCACACCTAGTGGGTTGGGTGCAAGGGGGAGTGTTGGAGGTCGCGTGAGTTAGAAGCAAACGGTGGTGGGGCAATTGATATGCCCCCAACCCACCGAATGTGTTTCGGTGCTCACCGCTTGAGAGAGCTGCAGGTTTCACGAAGTGTGTGGGTTGACTTCGGAAGACCCACTCGATTGGTGCCACATGGCAACACAAGATGAATCGAGACTCAGGGAGAATTCGATTCGGTGAAATTCGAGAGTCGAATTTCACCCCTTCGATGTTACTCGAACATTCGAGTGTACCGCGGTTCGAGGTTACATGTGTGATTCGACGTTTTGCAGTTCATATAAATGTGTTTGCTTTTGTATTGCATGATATACTGAACATTCTGAATCACTTTGTATGAAGTGCATTCGAACACAAAATCCAGAGAGATTCCTATCCTTCAACATAGAGCATAGTCTTCACGTTTCCAGCTATAGCTCGCTCGTTTCTCAGGCGAACGAAGCAATTGACGGCTCGTTGGAAAGCTAAGACAGAGCTCTATCGTTTAGAACAATTCCCAGTTCCTGCAAAGTAGAGGAGAGTCCTTTACATCATATCTCAATCTTAACTGCCTTGCACATTTGAAAACCAGCAGGGTGGCTTGGATTCCAGACACTGGGATCACGGATGTACCACTCCTTCAGCCACGAGATGATTTCTTCAGTCTTCCTCCGCATGTTCTGTGTGTTGAGGAGCTCATTCCCAGACATCGCAGGAACCTTGGATCCCTTTGCGTTGGCCATTGGCCATTCAACCTGCACATGAACAGTAAAAAATAAACAATGTAAGATACACCTCAAGAAGTAAAACTTGGGAAAATACATTGAAACTTACCACGTAGCACACATACGCGGCTCCAACAAGCTTGACGTTCCAGGCAGTAGCTTTCACGCCACCGAAAGCCTTGCTCACTGCCATGATCCAGCCTAGGTTGGAAAAGGGACGCTCGCCTTCGGTGCAATGCCAATTAGAGCCATAGCGATCTGCAAAGTAAAAAACAAAACAGATATGAGTATATCCAGGATTCTAAAAGACACAATAGGCGGACAGTAAGGGAATAATTCTCACCATGCTTAAACTTTTCTGCCCACTGCACAGGTGACCTCACAAATCCAACTTGGATCCCCACTGCGACAAGGGTGGCTACAACCGTCTCGTTGTAGAATCCGCCAAAGCCCCAAGCATACACTCTAATCGGGCTATTCAGGTTAGAACGACGCTCAGAGCATTTCTTCTTGGCAGTCTCCCGCATCTTACAATCTCTAGAAATAGCATAATAGAACTCGTCGTTACTTACCCCGTCCTCCAAATACTTCATGGCGACGATGTGCTGAAGCTCTGACCATTCCGGAAAAAAGCTCATGTAGCTTCCAGGGGCAACGGTTGTCAGCCAATAGATTGAGTCACTCGTAAATTTCTGGGAACAAATTACGGTAACAACGGTCGTTAGAATTGACAACACATAGAGAAAAATAATGTTGTAACGACTGGGTTCACGGGCGAAAATCTTACACCAATCTGAAGCTGATCCGTGAGCTTTGTCGGAATCTTAATGACCCCGTTTACGACGTCGAGCTTGGTGACGTCCCATTGGAGCGCGGGGCCCTGAATGACGGTGCCAGCCGGGTTTGAGAGTTGAGACGGTGCAGACACGGATAGCGCCCGGTTTTCGAGGGAGCGCGAATGCGACAGAGAGAGAATGGGACCGAGGGAGAGCGTGAATGCGAGGGGGAGATACAGACGGCGGGAGCTAGTGATCGCGAGCATGCGATAACAAGAAGACGGGAACGACAGCGCTCCCGAAAGCAAGGGGTAGAGAGAGAACATGACCGGGGGCGCGCGCGATGATGTTAAGATGAGCTCACCTTATTTGAGCTAAGCAAGGTGTAAGCGCTTGAAAAACTACCGCCACCAACGTGTCCCCTTGAAACCCGGTTCGTACCCACCTCCCCGCGAGCAAGGCCGTAGAGCCACTATCAGAACAGCAGTGCTCATGCAAAAGCGTAGGTGATAAGCGGAACGGAATGCCAACTATCGGCAGCAGAAAGTCGAGAATGGCCAGCAAGAGATTCTGAAATGACGAGCGATCTGAGTGAGTGATGGATGTGGGACTCCTGAGAGAGAACCACAAACGGTCGGAATGCTTCGAGGGGCGAAAATTGCGAGAGGGAACGGTCGGAATGCTCCGAGGGGCGAAAATTGCGAGAGGGGTGTCTACCGGTAACAAACAACTCGCGAGTCGCAACGCATGCCTGAAATCTCTCGTCACCACGCGGCAAAAAGCCTGAATGAAAAAAAGCAAAAACCGCTGGCATTGCAATTCGCGTAAGAAACAGACGGGCCGCGAATTGCTTCCTTCCCAACTCCCGCAATTTTCGGCGCGAATGAAAAAAACGGACATGTGTCCAACAACCAGCTATAGAGGGTCACGCCTGAATATATAAAGCAAACTCATTTATAATTAAGTGTTCTATATCTAAAAAGACATCATATTAGTCAACTGTACCCACAATTTAACATATATGAATTCTATACGAAATGAGAAAACATACCCGTCGAAACGATTGAGATAAATTGCATATATTCACTCCATAAAAATAATCCGACCTCATGTTGACAACCAGTGAGCTTGAAATACACACATTTACATTTTCAGGAAATCACTTCATACAGATTCGTTTCGAGATACACAGCAACACGCAACATGGAAAGTTGAAACGCGTCATAGCTAAATCGGAAAAACAACACAGGCCGCGCGTGCACCAAGCCAAGCCGTAGATGACAACATTCCGTCAGCAAAGGTTTCGGGAACAGTAGCGACAATCCTCCCCACACATACTCAACCGTATAGAGCCACCAACTCAGCATTCACACCAACTTCCAACCACTAACACTCCCTTACGTCCGACCGCCAAACCTAAACCGTTCATCGTCATTGATGACGATGAGAACGGGCACGAACTTCACCCCCGACTGGATTCGACAATCCCACTTTTTTCCGATGGAGCGCACAACCATTACCATCTGACCGCATGTGCGAAACACTGCTCGTTAGCTTTCGCTAGAGGCGTTGCGACGGGATGGGCGACCACGATTGGATTCGGCGAATCCCCGAGTGCCCCGTGTACTACCCGACGGAGGACGAGTTTCGCAATCCGCTCGCGTACATCGAGAAGATTCGTCCCGAGGCCTCACTGCACGGTGGGTGGCCTCACTGCACGGTGGGTGGATGTACGCGAGCCGGCGGCGGAGCGGGAGAGCAAGGCGCGGGGGTGGTAGAGGCGATTTGGCGGGGCAGAGGCGCGGGGCCCTTGAGACGGATTGGTGGGCGCGAGGTCACGGCAGTCAGGGCACGCCGAGTCCGCTGGCCTGTGTCGCATGGTCGTGGCTCCGTCACTCCATGCGAGGACGCTCTCCCTGCTCCCCGCGCACTCCGCTCACTCAGCCCCCCCTCTGCCCACGCCCTCCTCTTCCCCCTTTCCGCCCCTCGCTTCTCGCGTGAGAAACTCGCCCTCTCGTCGACGCGCTTCGACCTGCCGCAGCGACGGCCTCGCTGCTCCACACCGCGCGTCTCCCAGTTCCGCCGCGTCGCACCGTCTCCACCTGTTTCCTTGAGGGGCCCTTTCTGCCTCCCTTCGTCCTTTCCGCTCCGCCTCTCGTCCTCGCATTGTACTCACTGCCCGTCGACCCTCTCCCCCGCTTCACCCCTCTCCCCTCATCCATCCAACACCCCAGCCCATACCCACAGCCACCCTCGTTTCGCACGCGCCACTAACGCGCACGCGTTCGCCACCGTCACTTCCCCCTTCCCGTTCCGCCCACCAGCACGGGCGTCCAGGCAAGCAAGGCTGCGCTGCAGCGCGCACACGCCCCCTGCGCGCATGCGGGAGAATGCCTCCGCGCGCACGCGTGGCAGGCAATTCAGCGGGCAAGACGCAGGTCACCGTTCCACCCGTAAAGACTAATGGCGCGCCTCTCCCTCCCCTTGTCGCCCCGCGCCCCTCTTGTCCCCCACCCCCCCCCGTGCAGGCATCTGCAAGATCGTGCCGCCCGTGCTGCCCACGGTGCCCGCGGGGCACGTGCTGCAGCGCGGGCAGAAGCGCCCCTTCCGCTTCACCACGCGCGAGCAGCCCGTGCGCGTGGCGGCGTGCGCGCATGGCGACCCCCCCGCCTTCCGCATGAGCGGCAGGTGAGCCCCCCATGGTGATCCCCCCATGGTGATCCCCCCATGGTGATCCCCCCATGGTGATCCCCCCATGGTGATCCCCCCATGGTGATCCCCCCATGGTGAGCCCCCCATGGTGATCCCCCCATGGTGATCCCATTTCTCGCTGCCCTCGCAGGGTGACGTGGCATCCCAGAGCATAAGGGGCGGAGTGATAAGTAGAGCTTGTTTCAGGTATGAAGTCAGGTACAACCCCTTTCTCCTGGCGTCGCCCACCCTGCCTTTTCCTCCCATATCCCTGCCCAGCCCACGCCCTCTTGACCTCTCGCTCTGCCACAATCCTCTCCCTTCCCTCGCGTTCCTCCTGTCCACGTCTCATCACCCCCATTACCTCCCCACCCTTGCTTCTCTTGCCCTCATCCTCCCCACCCGCCCGCCCATCACCGCTCCTCGTTCCAACAGAACCTACTCTCTCCCCGAATTTGAGCGCAAGGCCGATCGCTTCCTGGCCACACGATTCGCCACATCAGCAGCGCTGCCAGCTGGCATGGTGGAGCAGCTGTACTGGCAGGAGATGGAGGGCGGCGGCAGGGAGGCGGGGGGCCACGCGGAGAGGGGCAAGGGCGGAGGGAGGGGGGCGGAGGGGGGAGGCGGGGGAGCAGGCGCGCGGGGGGGGCGGGGGGTGGCGCATGTGGAGTATGGCAGTGACGTGGACGGGTCGGGGTTCAGCTGCGACCCGCACGACCCCCTCGCCTCGTCCAGCTGGAACCTCAACGTGCGCACCTCCCCCTGCCACCACCACCACACGCCCCCCTCTCATCCCTCATCTCTCTCGCTCACCTGCATTGACCGCACTCACCACTGCCTTTCACCGCACCCTTGCCGTGCCACTGTTCGCACTCCTCCTCTCCTCCTTTTGTCTCCAGCCCATCTGTTCCTCTCTCTTCCACCCTCAACCGCGCCTCGCCTCCCCTCCCTGCAGGTGCTCCCCCGGCTGCCCGCCTCTGTGCTGCACCGCCTGCCCGTTGACATTGCGGTTAGTGCCCCTCCCCCTACCCCCTCGCCCCCGGCCCCTTTTCCCCGCCCTTCCACCCTGCCTCTCCCGCCCCACCCGTCCCTCTGCGTGTGCCGGTGTGGTTGTTGTGCAGCTGCGTGTGCCCTCTGCTGTCCCTCCTGCCCGTTCTCAACCACATCCAACCACCCTGTGCAGCTTCAATCCTTCAGCGCTGCACTCGCTCTCTCCTTCATCCATCCGCCCCAACTCCTTCAGATCCTCCCGCATCTCCCCCCGACCCAACCCCTTTTTCCCCATTCCATCATCCCTTCATCCTGCCTGCCTGCCTGCACCGCCCTGCCTCTCTGCATCCTCCTCACCCCTCCTCTCTCCCCCCTCTCCCCCACGGCAGGGCGTGACAGCGCCCATGCTGTACGTGGGCATGCTCTTCAGCACCTTCGCCTGGCACGTTGAGGACCACTACCTCTACAGGTGGGCACGTTGAGGACCACTACCTCTACAGGTGGGCACGTTGAGGACCACTACCTCTACAGGTGGGCACGTTGAGGACCACTACCTCTACAGGTAAGCGCACCCCATGGCGCCCGGCACCATTGTGGGCCGTGGCCTGCCGTGCTGTGCCAGGGGCTACCATGACAGGTGTGCTACACAAAGCGCAGTGACACGTGTTTTGTGCGCCGCTGGTTGCCCTAACCTGGGTCACGCTGAGCTGGACCCACTCTCTTTTTCCTTCCATGCCATCCCACCGTATCCCATACCATCGCATGCCATCCCACCGTATCCCATATCATCGCATGCCATTCCACCGTATCACATATCATCGCATGCCATCCCACCGTATCCCATATCATCGCATGCCATCCCACCGTATCCCATATCATCGCATGCCATCCCACCGTATCCCATATCATCGCATGCCATTCCACCGTATCCCATATCATCGCATGCCATTCCACCGTATCCCATATCATCGCATGCCATCCCACCGTATCCCATATCATCGCATGCCATTCCACCGTATCCCATATCATCGCATGCCATTCCACCGTATCCCATATCATCGCATGCCAGCCCTGCGCAACTCATTGCATTCCGTGCTATTGCGTCCTCCACCTGGCCACATGTCATCCCCTTCCTGCCTCGCTCACCTGCCCCTCTGCCCCTCCCACACCGCACCGCACCGCACCACCCATCTGCCCGCCCCCAGCATCAATTACCAGCACATGGGCGCGCCCAAGACGTGGTACGGCGTGCCGGGCATGGCGGCGCATGCCTTTGAGGCCGTCGCCATGCGCCACGTGTACGGCCAGGGGGACGCCCAGGGGGGGTGCGCGGCCAGGGACCCACGTGGGGGTGTGAAGGGCGAGGAGGAGACAGGGAGGGCGCACGGAGGGGGTGGGGTGGAATGGAGGGGCGCGGCTGTGCAGGGTGGTGGCGCGGGGGAGGTGAGGGGCGGAGGGAGTGTGCAGGGGGGCACCTGCGGAGAGCAGTTGCGGACGCCTGGGCGAGGGGGCGGGTGGGGGAACAGGAGAGGGGGGCGGGGAGGGCGGGGTCGCGGTGGGAGGGGCGCGGCTGGGGGAGGGGCGCTTGCTGTGAGGGGTGAGGGCGGAGGGGGGGAGGGCAGGTGCGCGGGGAGCTGTGAGGTGGGCGAGGTGGAGAGGGCGGGTGGTGCAGGGGCGGGCGAGCAGGGGCGGTGGGGCGGTGGGGCGGTGGGGCGAGCGTGCGCGTTGCTGATGGGCAAGACGACCATGTTCTCGCCCCGCCTGCTGCTGGCCCATGGCGTGCCCGTGGTGCGCGCCGTGCAGGCCGCGGGGGAGTTCGTGGTGACGTACCCGCGGTCGTACCATGCTGGGTTCAGCCATGGTGAGATGGTCGTACCATGCTGGGTTCAGCCATGGTGAGATGGTCGTACCATGCTGGGTTCAGCCATGGTGAGGGGAGAGACGTCGCTGTGGTGTGTGCATGGCATGCATTAGCAGGTGTACACATGTGTAGCCCCGCCCCACAGATCAACATGCATGCAAGCTTGCACACATACACACATGCACATGCGCTCACTCACTGTTCTCACACTCAGTTACTCACACTCACACAATCATTCAATACTCGCTGATGCACAAGGCATTAGCAAAAGGTACACAGTCTCACACATGCATGCACTCACGTGCAACCCCTCTTGCATGCACTCACGTGCAACCCCTCTGCTCTTCCGTGTCCCCCTCTGCTCTTCCGTGTCCCCCTCTGCTCTTCCGTGTCCCCCTCTGCTCTTCCGTGTCCCCCTCTGCTCTTCCGTGTCCCCCTCTGCTCTTCCGTGTCCCTCTCTGCTCTTCCGTGTCCCCCTCTGCTCTTCCGTGTCCCTCTCTGCTCTTCCGTGTCCCCCTCTGCTCTTCCGTGTCCCCCTCTGCTCTTCCGTGTCCCCCTCTGCTCTTCCGTGTCCCCCTCTGCTCTTCCGTGTCCCCCTCTGCTCTTCCGTGTCCCCCTCTGCTCTTCCGTGTCCCCCTCTGCTCTTCCGTGTCCCCCTCTGCTCTTCCGTGTCCCCCTCTGTCCGCGCCCTGCCTCCCCCCCTCCCCTCCCTCCCCTCCAGGCTTCAACTGCGGCGAGGCGGTCAACTTCGCGCCGCCCGACTGGTTTCCGTTCGCTGCTGCTGCCGCCCGGCGCTACGCCGTGCTGCGCCGCGCGCCGCTGCTGTGCTGGGAGGAGCTGCTGTGCCGCCACGTGGTGGCGCTGCTCAGGAGCGAGGGGGGAAAGATGGGGGAGAGGGGCGAGAGGGTGGATGAGGAGCAAGTGGGAAAAATGCAGGAGAGGGTGGAGGAGGGCGGGAGTGCCGCCAGGACACTAGGGAGGGCGGGAGAGGAGGTGCACGATGGGTTGAGAGGGCAGAGCGCAGAGAAGGCGGCACGGCATGCAGTGGTGGTGTTCTCGCCCTGCAAGGAGAGCGGCCCGGGGCCCCCTGCTGATCGTGTTGACCGCGTTGACTTGCCTCCATGTACAGCGGCAGCAGCGCCTGGTGGCGTGGCAAGCAGCAATGGCAGTGGCACACAGATAGGACGCAGTGAGGAGCGCAGGCGCAGCGATACTCATGGTGGCGCTGTTGACCCCGTTGACCTGCCTCCCTCCACTGGCAACACTGACCCCATGCACCCCTCCACTGGCAACACTGACCCCATGCACCCCTCCACTGGCAACACTGACCCCATGCACCCCTCCACTGGCAACACTGACCCCATGCACCCCTCTAGCCCTCCTGCCTGCACCACACCCCTCGCCCTCATTCACCCTTCTCACCCTGTGGGCCTTGCTCACCCTATTGACCCCACTAACCCCACTGACCCCACTGACCCCACTGACCCCACTGACCCTGTTGACCCCATTGACCCCACTGACTTGGTTGACCCCGTGGACTCTACAGACGCCATCGATGCCATTCAAGTCACCCCACCTCGCCTGGCCGCCATGGGCCACGTGGGGCGCAGCGCGGTGGAGCAGTTGGTGCGGCTGGTGGGCGAGGAGGGGCGCATCCAGGCGTGGATGAAGCAGCGAGGCGCCGTGGTGGCGGTGCTGCCGGGGTTGTCAGCGGCGCTGCCGTGCTCGCTGTGCTGCCGCCTCTGCCACCTGGCGGTGGTGGCGTGCTGCTGTGTGCGCGACCCCATCTGCCTGCACCACGGTGCGTGCACGTGGCCGGGCTTGGGTGTGGCCATGTGGGTGGATGCATCTCCCCTCGCTCTCATTGTTCTTCAACACCACTGCCACTTCCCGCAACTCCTGTCTTCTCGTCCCTCGTCTCACCCGTACCGCTGCCTGCCCACGTCTCACCGTGTCTTATTCCTCCTCCATCTCTCCCCATCCCCTCCCCTGTCAACCCACGCTACCCCAACCACCCAGCCAGCATCAACCGCGCCTGTCGCTGTGGCCCCCTGCGCGTCATCTCGCTGCGCCGCCACACGCCCGCCCTCCACCGCCTCGCGCTGCGCCTGCACACTGCGCTCTCTGCCACCCCCACCGCGCCGCACCGCACTGTATGCACGCTGCAAGAGCACCCGATGGCAGGGCGCGCAGCCGCAGCAGCGGGCGTGCTGGCAGCGCTGGGAGCAGCGGCACCGGCGCGGTGGGATGAGGACGTGGCTGATATCGAATCACTCTCTAACGAGCATGACCTGGAGGGGTTCGGAGGGGACGTTGACAGGGAGCAGTGGGTGAGAAAGGGTGGGGGGGGCGGAGGGCGGGGGGCGGGCATGAACAATGGAGAGGTGGAGGACGCAGGAGGGCGTACTGTGGGAGGAATGGGTGCAGTGGTTGAGAGCGGTGGCGAGGGGTGCAGAGATGGCAGGCATTGTGGTGGTGAGCTTGACGAAAAGCCATGCAATGATATGGCATTTGGTGACGTGGCATGTGGTGACGTGGCATGTGGTGGCAATACATGGTGTGGCACAGGCGAGGGCGAGGAAGCAGAGTGTGGTGCAAGTGAATGTGCTGTAGCTGATGGTGCTGTAGCTGATGGTGCTGTAGCTGATGGTGCTGTAACTGATGGTGCTGCTGAGATGCCATGCGGCAACGGTGGGTGCAAGCAGGGAGAGCATGGCAGCAACGATCACGGTCGTGCCCCCTGCCATGCACCATGCTCCTTGCCACACCCGCCACTGCCCCACCCTACCCGACCTCGCGAGTGGAAGCAGCAGATGGAAGTGATGCGTGTGCACGCCGAGCAGCTTGCAGCCATACAGGTGGCAGTAGGGAGCGCCATGCGTGGTGAGCACGCGTCACCAGCAGCAGAGGGGCGGCCTCCCCCACAGGGGCGTGCTGCCACCCACCCCGCACTGCACCGCCCTGCCGCCACCCCTCCCCCTGCCCTGCCGCCTCCTGCTCCCCCCCACGCCCATCCCGCGGCACTGTGGGCGCCATGCGGTGTGCAGGAGAGTGCGGGTGCGGAGGCGAGGACGCAGGTGGGGCAGCGCGCCCACATGACAGCGCTGGACGTGCTGCTGCTGCCCGCTCCTCCCCCACCCCCCTCGCCTCCTCTCCCGCCCCCCCCGGCCATGCCCCACCCCCCGCCAACCCCCCTGTGCTTGCCCCGCGCCCTGCTCCTCCCCAGCCGTTCCCATGGTGCTGTGGCGCGTGAGTGCGTCCCTGTGGTGGCCGCTCATGGCCGCGTGGGTGCGCCGTGGGATGGCCCAGCAGCACCACGAGGAGAAGGGCAAGGCATCACAGTGGCACGTGGAGGCGGGGAGGTGGGGAGCAGTGCAGGCGAGGTAGGCGGTGCAGGGGGGCAGCGATGGCAGCCGGGTGCAGAGAGCGCGAGGGTGGAGGAGCGGGGCCAAGGTGGTCCAGTAGTTGAGCAGATGGCGTGCAGTGGCGGGCAAAGAATGGGTGAAGAAGGGTGCTGTGGGGGGATGGGAGTGCGATGCAGCAGCAGCAGCAGGGGGCGGGGTGGGTGCGATGGGGACCGGGTGGAGGGCAGCAGCGAGGGGGCTGCGCTGGCAGGGGTGGCGGAGGGGGGTGATGAGATGGTGGCGGATGGGGGTGATGCGATGGTGGCATGGGCAGGGACAAGGGTGGAGCCGGACATGACGCGGTGTGAGATGGCGGAGAGGGACGGACGCTGGGGAGGGGTGGAGGGCGCTGGGGGAGGAGTGGAGGGCGCCGGGGGAGGAGTGGAGGGCAGAAGGAAGGAAACAGCAGAGGTAGGAGGGTGGGAGGCAGTGGGGGAAAGAGGGGAGGAGCAAAAGGAGGGAAGAGAGGAGGGAGGAGAGGAGGAGGGAGGGGAGGGATGGAAGGAGGAAAGAGGGGAGCAGAATAGGGAGGGAATACGGGGGACAGGAAAGGAGGAAAGAGATCAGGTAGGAGAGGAAGGAAGAAGGGAGGAAAGTGGGGAGAGAAGAAGGGAGGCAGGAGAGGCGGGAGCAGGGGAAGAAGGAACGGAGGAAATTGGGGACGGGAAAATGGAGGGGAAAGAGGAGGGAGGAAAGGAGGAAGGAGGGGAGGAAGGAGGGGAGGAAGTAGAGGAAGGAAGAGGGAAGGAAAGATGGGGGGTAAGAATAGGAGGAGATGAGGGCAACGGTATGGATGAATGGAGCGAGGGAGGAACGGAGAAAGGGAGAGAGGGAGGAGCGAAGGAGCAAGGGGATGGATGCGAGGTGGGGAATGAGGAGGAAGGGGAGGGCGTGCAAGGGGCAGTGCGAGCGGGCAGTGGTGAACAGGCGGGTGAGTGTGAGGGGGGTGGCGGTGAGTGCAATGGAGTGTGGCGGGCAGACGGAGGAAGCGGAGAGTGCCGTGGCGAAGCGAGTGCGTGTGGTGAGAGAGCGAGTGCGTGTGGTGAGAGAGCGAGTGCGTGTGGTGAGAGAGCGAGTGCGTGTGGTGAGAGAGCGAGTGCGTGTGGTGAGAGAGCGAGTGCGTGTGGTGAGAGAGCGAGTGAGGCGGCGTGCCCACCATGTGATGCATCAGGTGAGGCGGCAGCAACAGCAGCAGGTGCAGCGGAAGGAGGTGATAGAGAGGGGTATGCGCTACGAGGTGATAGAGAGGGGTATGCGCTACGAGGCCATCGCCAACAAGTTGCACCTCCTGATGCCATTGCTTCTGCACGCACTCATGCTCATGCTCATGCTGATGGCGACACTGATGCGGGTAGTGGTGGTGCGTATGGTGTGCGAGGAGAGGGTGCTGAGACCCCCCTGGGTGGGGCATCAAGGACGCTGGGAAGGGTGGTGGTGCAGCAGGAGGGACAACAGGAGGGGCAGCAGGAGGGGCAGCAGGAGGGGCAGCAGGAGGGGCAGCAGGAGGGGCAGCAGGAGGGGCAGCAGGAGGGACAGCAGGAGGGGCAGCAGCGGTGGAGCGGAGGGGCGAGCAGGCGGCGGCGGCGGCAGTTGTGGATGGTGTGGGATGGCGGGCGGCGGAGGAAGAAGAGCCGCTCCGCTCAGGGGGGCCCGTGGGCGGGCGGTGCTGGTGGCACTGCTGCTCCCCCGCCTCGTGCTCATCGCAGCCCTGCTGCCACTCGTGGCGGTGGTGGCAGCAGTGGCAGTGAGAAGAGCAGCAGTGACGACTGGCGCTGGGCGTGGGAGAGCAAGGGGCGGAGGAGCAGACGGGGCAGGCGAGAGGTAGGGCACTTGTTGGCAAGAGGGGAGCAGGGGGGCATGGCGCTGGCAGTGAGGGGAGAGAAGAGGAAGGCAGAGGATGAGGGGCGGGTAGATGCGGGCATGGCGGCAGCAGCTGCAGCAGCAGCAGCAGCAGCAGGCGTGAGTCCGGCGAAGCAGAGGCGGCTGGTGGAGGTGAGCGGAGGGAGCTGCGGTCCACGGGCTGTGAGGGAGGACAGGGCTGTGAGGGAGGACAGGGCTGTGAGGGAGGACAGGGCTGTGAGGGAGGACAGGGCTGTGAGGGAGGACAGGGCTGTGAGAGAGGACAGGGCTGTGAGAGAGGACAGGGCTGTGAGGGAGGACAGGGCTGCGAGGGAGGACAGGGCTGTGAGAGAGGACAGGGCTGTGAGGGAGGACAGGGCTGTGAGAGAGGACAGGGCTGTGAGGGAGGACAGGGCTGTGAGGGAGGACAGGGCTGTGAGAGAGGACAGGGCTGTGAGGGAGGACAGGGCTGTGAAGGGGACGATGGAGGTGGTGGGCATGGGGGGTGGGCTTTCACACGAGCACGCATGGCATGCAACGGAAGGTGGGTCGAGGTGCGAGAGTGGTGAGGCCTCTTTGGTGGTCAGCAGCGCGGTGAAGAGTGGTGCCGTGCGCAGCTGTCGGTCCATGCTGGTGGGCCAGCATGGGCAGGGTGGGCAGGGAGGCGCAGCGGAGGGAGGGGAGGGGTGGAGGGCGGAGGGCCCGTGGGAGAAGGGCTTCTGGCAGCTCGTGGTGCGGCAGCGCCGCACGTGGCAGTACCGATTATCGAGCCCTGGCGCTGACGACTGACATTGCACGAGATCAAGGCCACGTAATGCAAGCCATTTTCTACTACAACTGATTCTAAAGAAAGCAGGAGCCTTGGAAAGATGATAGTTTACTGAGCAGTAGTTCAGGATGTACATTAGGTAATCTCCTGTGTTATGCTGTCCCTTTTTACAATTGCAAGCGAGGCCAGAAGTCGCTCTGTTAAAGGGGGATTTACTGTTCCCTTTGAACAGTACTTTCCCAACCCATCCAACTCATCCTTATCCTTATCTTCCTAGATTTCCTAGTGCCATGTGGCACTCTACTTTCTTTGCCTTCTAGTTCCTATTCCCACAACCCACTTTCCTTCAATTGTTCTTGCATGCTATATCAACCTTGCTTGTATTCCCTCATATCAACCAATTCTCATTCAACTCTTCTTCAATTACTCAGTAACTTCTTCGCCTATTTCGCTAATAGTTCTTTCGCCAAAGTCTTCCGCCGCGTTTCATCCTCGACTTAGTCGACCCCACTAATTCTTTAGCGGACTTAGGCCGTCGGGCCTAACACTTGGTATCAGAGCCTTCGCGGGGAGCGACTTCCAACGAGCGACCGTCGACGACGAGACTACGACGTCATCGTCCCGCGGTGCCGACTTGCAGACTTGGAGTCGTCGAGCGAACATGGACGAAACCATGCACGCTCTCCCCCACGACATGGGCAACAGGCTTGCCGAACTCATGCGCCAACTTCAAGAGTTGACGTTGGAAAATCGTCAGGTACGAGCTGAAATGCAACAGCTTCGTGAATTCGCGTCAATTTCTCATGGTCATGCCGCACCATCTCCTGCACCCAACACGTCGACTGGCGCGGAAGCGCTGCCGGAACGTCGAAGCGCACTCAAGCCGCAGAAACCCGAGTCGTTCGACCCAAGTCAAACCGACGCGAACGTGCGGACGTGGCTCTTCATGCTGAACAACTACTTCGCCGCGAGCGGGGTGCAAGAGGCGGACGCGCAGCAGCGGATCGAGTACTCCGTTACGCTGCTGAGGGGCCCGGCCTTGGAGTGGTGGCGCCAACTCACGCAAACTGCTGTCAGAAGGGCTCAGACAGACGGGCATCAACAGGGCGTGGGGCATGCAGCTGCAACTTCGAGCTTAGGGAGTTTAGCTTTGGGTGTTATCACGGTTCCGACCACATGGGAAGGATTTGAAGCGGCGCTGAAAAGTAGGTTCGATTTGGTGAACGCTTCCGAAGCTGCTAGGAAGCGTCTGCGTCATTTCCGACAGATAGGAAACGTCCAGGAGTACACACGACGGTTCTTGAGCATCTGCAACGAGATAGACGACATCACTGAAGCAGAGATGCGCGATCGCTACCTCGAAGGGTTGAAGCCGGACATAGCGGAGGTTATAGCGATTCACGGGTTGTCCACCTTCGAGACAGTTGTCGCAGCAGCAGAACGCGTCGACGCAGTACGAAGCCGACGGGGTCGTGACGATCGCGATAGGGGATACAACAGACCGATCAACGACGCTCGATCGAGGGACGGACCATCGCCCATGGAGATTGGTGCAGTTAACAGTGACGGCTCACAGAAAACGAGATTTAGGGGGAACTGTCACTACTGCAAAAAGCCTGGACACATGAAGCGGGACTGCCCACAGCTTAAGGAGCGGCAGCAGGGAAACGGAAACCGCCAGTAGATAGCGGGTCGCTAGCTGGTGTGGAGGTTCCCGTACCCGCCACGTCTACCAACGTAGAGGAGACGGCTTTGCAGTAGTCATCTACGGAGAACGAGGTAGACACTGTTGACCGGCCAGTCGTGCTTCTAGGGAAGCTTCGCGGAGTTCCTGTTAAGATTCTCGTAGATAGCGGAGCTAGCCACTCGTTCGTGTCTTCATCGTTAGTCAGCCGCCTCCATCTCGAAGCAGATTCCGCAGTCAACTTCAAGGATGCTCGCATGGTAGATGGGACGCCTCTCCACATAGGACCGATCATTCGCAAGTTGCGCGTAGTGCTAGGACCGATCACAGTTAGGCGTGATTTCGACTCTGCGACGCTGGACGGATACGACTTCATCTTCGGTAGAGATTGGCTACGCACGGTTAGTACTCAGTTCGATTGGGCTCAGGGAAGCTGCAGCGTCAAGGTAGATGGCGAGTTCCGGGAGCTGCCACAGTGGAGCGATGCGGCCACATCCTCCACAGCTATCATTAATGTTGTTCGTGTGCGACAGTTAGTGAAGCGTGCGGCGCGGATCTTTGCGGTTTTCCTTGAGGAGGTGGAAGCTGAGGAGGGGAAAGGAGGGAGTGCAGCAATTGGTGCGAAGGCGACTCTTCCTACTGAGGTGAGTGCACTATTAGCAGAGTTCGCAGACGTCTTCCCCGACGAGTTGCCCCCAGGGTTACCTCCTAGCCGAGCAGTAGACCATCGAATAGAGTTGGAGCCGGGGAGCAGGCCAGTAGCGAAGCCGCAGTGGAGATTGAGTCCAGCAGAGACAGAGGAGATGACGCAGCAGGTTAGACACTTTCTCGCGCAGGGTTTCATACAGCCATCTAGATCGCCTTGGGCAGCACCGATCCTTTTCGCACCCAAGAAAGACGGAGGGTTACGGATGTGCATAGATTACCGCGCACTGAATGCCGCCACCGTCAAGAATAGGTTTCCGGTGCCGAGAGTAGAGGATCTCCTAGATGCAGTGCAGGGCGCTAGAGTCTTCTCAAAGATCGACCTTCGTTCGGGTTACCACCAGATTCGCGTAGTTCCAGAGGACCAGCACAAGACGGCGTTCCGTACGAAGCAGGGGTTGTACGAGTTTAGGGTTCTACCGTTCGGATTGACCAACGCCCCAGCGACGTTTCAGACGCTCATGAACACCGTCCTCTCCGAGTTCCTAGGGTCGTTCGTTGTAGTTTACCTGGACGACATCCTAGTGTTCTCTAAGACGAAGGAGGAGCACGTGCAACACTTGCAGAAGGTCTTTGAGGTCTTGAGAAGGGAGCAGTTGTACGCGAAGCAGTCAAAGTGCGAGTTCTTCCTCCCGGAGGTCGAGTTTCTAGGTCACGTCGTTTCCGCTAGTGGCATTAGGACCGACCCGAAGAAGATCGCAGCAGTACAGGATTGGGTAGCACCGACCTCAGTCAAGGAGTTGCAGAGCTTCCTCGGATTCGCAAATTACTACCGCCGTTTCGTTCAGGGTTACGCATTGATCGCTAGTCCACTCACCGACCTACTTCGGAAGGGCGTAGAATACGTTTGGGGTCCAGCGCAGCAGCAGGCGTTCGAGCAGATGAAGCAGTCGCTCACGTCTTCACCGACACTGTCGTACCCTGATCCCACTCGCCCATACGTTGTAGTGACCGACGCTTCAGATCAGGCCATAGGAGCAGTGCTTCTTCAGGACCAGGGATGCGGGTTGCAGCCGATCGCGTACGAGTCGCGTAAGCTTAGGGGAGCGGAGCTGAACTATCCGATTCACGACAAGGAAGCGCTCGCGATCATCCATGCGTATAAAGGTGTGGAGGTGCTACCTAGAGGGGGCAGATAGTGTGATACGCACGGACCATTGCTCGCTTCGCTTTCTCAAGTCGCAGCCGCAGCTGAGTCGTCGCCAGGCTAGATGGATGGAGTTCATGGAGGGGAGTTTCCATTACAGGATAGAGTACAAGCCAGGCGTTCGCAACCCAGCAGACCCACTCACTCGCCCTAGTTGCCAGCTCGCTAGCCTCACAGTTACTGCCGGCCATCCACTTCTCACAGCACTCTTCGAGCACGGTTACACAGTAGATCCCGACTTCACACCGCAGCCACCCGCAGGAGCAGAGGTGCAGGGTAGTGTCTACATACGGAAGGGTACCACATGGATTTGGGTTCCTGCCTACCGCCCTCTTCGACAGCTCCTTCTCTCAGAGGCGCACGGCGTAGTTAGTGCAGGGCACTTCGGAGCAGATAAGACGGCTAAGACGCTTAGTCGCACGTACTTCTGGCCAGGGCTTGCAGTAGACGTAGAGGATTACATTCGCTCGTGCGACACGTGTCAGCGTACGAAGTCCTCTCGCCAGCGCAAGGCAGGACTCTTGCAGCCGATTCCACCGCCCGACCGCCCTTGGCAGGTAGTTACCATGGACTTCATCATGGCTTTACCGCGCACAGTTAGGGGTCACGACGCCATCTTCGTGGTAGTGGATAAGTTTTCTCGAGGAGCGCATTTCATCCCCACGCACGGCAAGGTCACAGCAGAGGAAGCCGCGACGCTGTTCGTAGATAACGTAGTCCGACTGCACGGGGTTCCAGATTCCATCATCTCAGACCGCGACCCTCGTTTCACTTCGAAGTTCTGGAAGCAGCTTTTCGCACTGTTCGGGACTCGCTTAGCCATGTCGTCTGCGTACCATCCAGAGACAGACGGACAGACCGAGCGTGTGAACCAGACCTTGGAGAAGATTCTTCGCAGCATCACGATGCACGACGCAGCCGCATGGGACAAGAAGCTGAGCATGTCCGAGTTCGCCTACAACAACACGCACCACTCGTCCACAGGCATGTCACCGTTCTTTGCACTTTACGGTCAGCACCCCAATGTCCCCACTCGTGTCGATCTCACACCCACTGTTCCTCGTGCGGACAACTTCCACCAGCATCTCGCATTCATCCATGATCATCTGAGGAAGCACCTTGAGCTCGCAAATGCACGCATGGCACGCACCACCAACCGCAGTCGTCGTGAGGTGTCGTTCGCAGTCGGCGACCGTGTTCTCTTGGATAGCCGCAACCTCCGACTGCCACAGAACAGCAAGCTTCGTCCACGTTTCATTGGTCTATTTGTCATTGAGCGCGCACTTGGTCCAGTCGCATACCGCCTTCGCCTTCCCGCTCATTTCCGTATGCACCCGTCATTCCACGTGTCGCTTCTTCGTCCTTACACCGATCCGAATCCCACCTTCTCGGGCCGTGACCGCACTCCACTGCCGGTAGCTGTTGACACCGACGAGCCCGACTACCAGATCCAGCGCATCCTCAGGCACCGTCGCCATCTCCAGGGGGGTGTCCCTTTCATCGACTTCTTGGTTCGTTGGCGTGGTTACGACGCATCAGACGACAGCTGGGTTCCTTCGTCCTCGCTGTCTCCCGACAACGCTTGCCTCCAAGCGTACCTTCAGTCTGCAGGCGCCGCGGACGTCGCCTCCTTGGGAGGGGGGTAGTGTTAAGGGGGGATTTACTGTTCCCTTTGAACAGTACTTTCCCAACCCATCCAACTCATCCTTATCTTCCTAGATTTCCTAGTGCCACGTGGCACTCTACTTTCTTTGCCTTCTAGTTCCTAGTCCCACAACCCACTTTCCTTCAATTGTCCTTGCATGCTATATCAACCTTGCTTGTATTCCCTCATATCAACCAATTCTCATTCAACTCTTCTTCAATTACTCAGTAACTTCTTCGCCTATTTCGCTAATAGTTCTTTCGCCAAAGTCTTCCGCCGCGTTTCATCCTCGACTTAGTCGACCCCGCTAATTCTTTAGCGGACTTAGGCCGTCGGGCCTAACACGCTCTGTACAAAAGGCTTTTTCACTCCCCAACTTCGTGGAGCCCACAAACCTGGGACGCCGCGACCAATCAAGAACCGCCTCACCGGACGGGAGGGCATGCTTTCAGTCCAACCTGGCAGTCCAGTGTGCGCCCAAGGTGACACAATCCAGAGCTCCTCGTGCCCCGCCAAGCGCACCTCGATATTCCTGCCTTCGATATTCCTCGCTGCCTATTCTCCTCCATGCCCATGTAACGAGTCTCTGCTCCAACCAAGCCTAGGTCCTGCCACTCCGACCACACACACATTCGCCTCTCCACTCCATTCCGTGCCGCACCTCGCCGCCACCACCAAATCTTTTCGCCACACGAGCACGGCGCCAGCCTTCCTTGCACGCTCCGAATCTGCTGAACCTAGGTCTTGCGAAAGCCCCTAGGCCTGCTGTCACTCAGCTGTTGCGGACAGCACGGCGAGCTCGCTGCGCCATTTCTTATCGATCGGTCGTCGTCCGCAACGCGCCGCACCGCACGCTGCGACGAGTTCCATCGGAGCCGTGCTGCCCGCGTGCTCGCGCCGTCTCGATTCCACATTCGCTCTCCCCCGCGCGTGCCATCGCGTGCGATCAGCTGTTCCCCTGCCGACCGGCGTGTGGCGGCCGTGCGGATCGCGATCGCGCGGAATGGGGGGAGGAGGCGGCAGCGGGGAGGTGGTGGTGGACGGGAAGCGGATGTACGTACCCGTTTATGGCATCCTCGCTAGCAGCGCCATGTCGGCGTGCTTCGCCGAGGTGAGATCTGCGGCGTCCCTAGCCGCTCTGCCTCCCTCCGCCCGCATCGCAAGCTCCCTGAGTGCTCGTCTCTATTCCCATCGCGCCGCTTTCCCTCCCCGCCCGTGCCTTGTTTTGAGACGAAGCGCGTCTCGGGTCGGCAGTAGCCACGAGGGCCCCATTACCCCCCACCCCCCCTCGCTGTCCTCCCCTCTCTCCGCCATTCTCCCCCCGCCCTGCGCGCAGTTCTGCACGCTGCCCATCGACACGGCCAAGGTGCGCCTGCAGCTGCAGGGCAAGCCGTCTGGGGGGGCGGGCGGGGCGATGGGCGCAGTGAAGTACCGCGGGATGGTGGGGACGATGGGGACCATCGCGCGCGAGGAGGGGCTGTCGGCGCTGTGGAAGGGGCTCGTGCCGGGGCTGCACCGCCAGTGCGTCTATGGCGGCCTGCGCATCGGCCTCTACGACCCCGTGAGCCTCCATGCGCCCTCTACCACCCCGTGAGCCTCCATGCGCCCTCTACCACCCCGTGAGCCTCCATGCGCCCTCTACCACCCCGTGAGCTTCTATGCGCCCTCTATGGATGCGAGCCGCACGGGGCGAGCTGCCGGCGTCGGCAGGCCACAGAATGGTGCGCTGTGATGCGTTGAGCACCGCCCCTGCGCTCAACACTCAACTGTCTGCGCTCCTCGCTGCTCCTGTGCCCCCTGCCTCCGTGGGCGCACAGGTGAAGGCGCTGTTCGTGGGCAAGGACCACACGGGCGACGTGCCTCTCACCATGAAGATCGCTGCCGCCCTCACCACAGGTGCTGCCCTCACCACAGGTGCCGTGTCCCCTGCTCTCTCCTACCTCCCCTGCTGCCCTCCTCCCACCGTCGTAAACTCTGCTCGTCCATTGCTTGTGCTTGCATATAATTCTCGTGTCTCTTAGCATTCTAACCCAGAAACCGCCTTCTTTCAAGCACCCTCACTCTTTCCTCACCATGCCCCATGCCCCATGCCCCCTGCACCATGCCCCATGCACCATGGCCCATGCCCCATGCCCCATGCACCATGCCCCATGCCCCATGCACCATGCCCCATGCACCATGCCCCATGCACCATACGCCATGCCCCATGCACCATGCCCCATGCACGATGCACCATGCCCCATGCGCCATGCACAGGGGCGGTGGGAATAGCGATCGCCAACCCCACGGATCTGGTGAAGGTGCGGCTGCAGTCGGAGGGGCGCCTGGCGCCCGGCACGCCCAAGCGCTACTCGGGCGCCCTCAACGCCTACGCCACCATCGCCCGCTAGGTCTGCTGCCACCCCGCCTAGGACACATGCGACGTGGCGTGTTGCAGGGATGGCAGGTGGAGTGTGGGAGAGGTGGAGTGTGGGAGGGATGCCAGGTGGAGTGTGGGAGGGACAGGAGGAGTGGAGGGGGATGGGAGGTGGTGTGTTGGAGGGAGCAAGGGGGGGCATCCCTCATTCTGTCTCCACTCTTCCCCCGCATGTGCGGCCCTCGAGATCGTCCCTTCTCTACTCTTCCCTCGTTGCGTTCTTTCAGCGTACAGTTGTTGTTTGTCTTCCTGTTTTTCAACCCTGAACTGAAACACAGAATCTCAACAATTTTAACCAGTTAACCTGAATGGCAGTATCTTGGCGGCATTATAGGACACGGATCTCTTCAGCACACAACATTGAAAGCCAATCATGAACCTTCAACGTTGACTGTGACTGCTGCTAACGTGGCACGGCGTGGCAGGAGGGCGTGGCAGCGCTGTGGACGGGCGTGGGGCCCAACATCGCACGCAACGCCATCATCAACGCCGCTGAGCTCGCCAGCTACGACCACATCAAGCAGGTGAGCTCGCCAGCTACGACCAGATCAAGCAGGTGAGCTCGCCACCTACGACCAGATCAAGCAGGTGAGCTCGCCACCTACGACCAGATCAAGCAGGTGAGCTCGCCAGCTACGACCAGATCAAGCAGGTGAGCTCGCCACCTACGACCAGATCAAGCAGGTGAGCTCGCCAGCTACGACCAGATCAAGCAGGTGAGCTCGCCACCTACGACCAGATCAAGCAGGTGAGCTCGCCACCTACGACCAGATCAAGCAGGTGAGCTCGCCACCTACGACCAGATCAAGCAGGTGAGCTCGCCACCTACGACCAGATCAAGCAGGTGAGCTCGCCAGCTACGACCAGATCAAGCAGGTGAGCTCGCCACCTACGACCAGATCAAGCAGGTGAGCTCGCCACCTACGACCAGATCAAGCAGGTGAGCTCGCCACCTACGACCAGATCAAGCAGGTGAGCTCGCCAGCTACGACCAGATCAAGCAGGTGAGCTCGCCAGCTACGACCAGATCAAGCAGGTGAGCTCGCCAGCTACGACCAGATCAAGCAGGTGAGCTCGCCAGCTACGACCAGATCAAGCAGGTGAGCTCGCCAGCTACGACCACATCAAGCAGGTGAGCTCGCCAGCTACGACCAGATCAAGCAGGTGAGCTCGCCAGCTACGACCAGATCAAGCAGGTGAGCTCGCCAGCTACGACCAGATCAAGCAGGTGAGCTCGCCAGCTACGACCAGATCAAGCAGGTGAGCTCGCCAGCTACGACCAGATCAAGCAGGTGAGCTCGCCAGCTACGACCAGATCAAGCAGGTGAGCTCGCCAGCTACGACCAGATCAAGCAGGTGAGCTCGCCAGCTACGACCAGATCAAGCAGGTGAGCTCGCCACCTACGACCAAATCAAGCAGGTGAGCTCGCCAGCTACGACCAGATCAAGCAGGTGAGCTCGCCAGCTACGACCAGATCAAGCAGGTGAGCTCGCCACCTACGACCACATCAAGCAGGTGAGCTCGCCAGCTACGACCAGATCAAGCAGGTGAGCTCGCCAGCTACGACCAGATCAAGCAGGTGAGCTCGCCAGCTACGACCAGATCAAGCAGGTGAGCTCGCCAGCTACGACCAGATCAAGCAGGTGAGCTCGCCAGCTACGACCAGATCAAGCAGGTGAGCTCGCCAGCTACGACCAGATCAAGCAGGTGAGCTCGCCAGCTACGACCAGATCAAGCAGGTGAGCTCGCCAGCTACGACCAGATCAAGCAGGTGAGCTCGCCAGCTACGACCAGATCAAGCAGGTGAGCTCGCCACCTACGACCAGATCAAGCAGGTGAGCTCGCCACCTACGACCAGATCAAGCAGGTGAGCTCGCCACCTACGACCACATCAAGCAGGTGAGCTCGCCACCTACGACCACATCAAGCAGGTGAGCTCGCCAGCTACGACCACATCAAGCAGGTGAGCTCGCCACCTACGACCACATCAAGCAGGTGAGCTCGCCACCTACGACCACATCAAGCAGGTGAGCTCGCCACCTACGACCACATCAAGCAGGTGAGCTCGCCACCTACGACCAGATCAAGCAGGTGAGCTCGCCACCTACGACCACATCAAGCAGGTGAGCTCGCCAGCTACGACCAGATCAAGCAGGTGAGCTCGCCAGCTACGACCAGATCAAGCAGGTGAGCTCGCCAGCTACGACCAGATCAAGCAGGTGAGCTCGCCAGCTACGACCAGATCAAGCAGGTGAGCTCGCCAGCTACGACCAGATCAAGCAGGTGAGCTCGCCAGCTACGACCAGATCAAGCAGGTGAGCTCGCCACCTACGACCAGATCAAGCAGGTGAGCTCGCCAGCTACGACCAGATCAAGCAGGTGAGCTCGCCAGCTACGACCAGATCAAGCAGGTGAGCTCGCCAGCTACGACCAGATCAAGCAGGTGAGCTCGCCAGCTACGACCAGATCAAGCAGGTGAGCTCGCCACCTACGACCAGATCAAGCAGGTGAGCTCGCCAGCTACGACCAGATCAAGCAGGTGAGCTCGCCAGCTACGACCAGATCAAGCAGGTGAGCTCGCCAGCTACGACCAGATCAAGCAGGTGAGCTCGCCAGCTACGACCAGATCAAGCAGGTGAGCTCGCCAGCTACGACCAGATCAAGCAGGTGAGCTCGCCAGCTACGACCAGATCAAGCAGGTGAGCTCGCCAGCTACGACCAGATCAAGCAGGTGAGCTCGCCACCTACGACCACATCAAGCAGGTGAGCTCGCCAGCTACGACCAGATCAAGCAGGTGAGCTCGCCAGCTACGACCAGATCAAGCAGGTGAGCTCGCCACCTACGACCAGATCAAGCAGGTGAGCTCGCCACCTACGACCAGATCAAGCAGGTGAGCTCGCCAGCTACGACCAGATCAAGCAGGTGAGCTCGCCAGCTACGACCACATCAAGCAGGTGAGCTCGCCACCTACGACCACATCAAGCAGGTGAGCTCGCCACCTACGACCACATCAAGCAGGTGAGCTCGCCACCTACGACCAGATCAAGCAGGTGAGCTCGCCACCTACGACCACATCAAGCAGGTGAGCTCGCCAGCTACGACCAGATCAAGCAGGTGAGCTCGCCAGCTACGACCAGATCAAGCAGGTGAGCTCGCCAGCTACGACCAGATCAAGCAGGTGAGCTCGCCAGCTACGACCAGATCAAGCAGGTGAGCTCGCCAGCTACGACCAGATCAAGCAGGTGAGCTCGCCACCTACGACCAGATCAAGCAGGTGAGCTCGCCAGCTACGACCAGATCAAGCAGGTGAGCTCGCCAGCTACGACCAGATCAAGCAGGTGAGCTCGCCACCTACGACCACATCAAGCAGGTGAGCTCGCCAGCTACGACCAGATCAAGCAGGTGAGCTCGCCAGCTACGACCAGATCAAGCAGGTGAGCTCGCCACCTACGACCACATCAAGCAGGTGAGCTCGCCAGCTACGACCAGATCAAGCAGGTGAGCTCGCCAGCTACGACCAGATCAAGCAGGTGAGCTCGCCAGCTACGACCAGATCAAGCAGGTGAGCTCGCCAGCTACGACCAGATCAAGCAGGTGAGCTCGCCAGCTACGACCAGATCAAGCAGGTGAGCTCGCCAGCTACGACCAGATCAAGCAGGTGAGCTCGCCACCTACGACCAGATCAAGCAGGTGAGCTCGCCAGCTACGACCAGATCAAGCAGGTGAGCTCGCCACCTACGACCAGATCAAGCAGGTGAGCTCGCCACCTACGACCAGATCAAGCAGGTGAGCTCGCCAGCTACGACCAGATCAAGCAGGTGAGCTCGCCACCTACGACCAGATCAAGCAGGTGAGCTCGCCACCTACGACCAGATCAAGCAGGTGAGCTCGCCAGCTACGACCAGATCAAGCAGGTGAGCTCGCCACCTACGACCAGATCAAGCAGGTGAGCTCGCCACCTACGACCAGATCAAGCAGGTGAGCTCGCCAGCTACGACCAGATCAAGCAGGTGAGCTCGCCAGCTACGACCACATCAAGCAGGTGAGCTCGCCACCTACGACCACATCAAGCAGGTGAGCTCGCCACCTACGACCACATCAAGCAGGTGAGCTCGCCACCTACGACCAGATCAAGCAGGTGAGCTCGCCACCTACGACCACATCAAGCAGGTGAGCTCGCCAGCTACGACCAGATCAAGCAGGTGAGCTCGCCAGCTACGACCAGATCAAGCAGGTGAGCTCGCCAGCTACGACCAGATCAAGCAGGTGAGCTCGCCAGCTACGACCAGATCAAGCAGGTGAGCTCGCCAGCTACGACCAGATCAAGCAGGTGAGCTCGCCACCTACGACCAGATCAAGCAGGTGAGCTCGCCAGCTACGACCAGATCAAGCAGGTGAGCTCGCCACCTACGACCACATCAAGCAGGTGAGCTCGCCAGCTACGACCAGATCAAGCAGGTGAGCTCGCCAGCTACGACCAGATCAAGCAGGTGAGCTCGCCACCTACGACCACATCAAGCAGGTGAGCTCGCCAGCTACGACCAGATCAAGCAGGTGAGCTCGCCAGCTACGACCAGATCAAGCAGGTGAGCTCGCCAGCTACGACCAGATCAAGCAGGTGAGCTCGCCAGCTACGACCAGATCAAGCAGGTGAGCTCGCCAGCTACGACCAGATCAAGCAGGTGAGCTCGCCAGCTACGACCAGATCAAGCAGGTGAGCTCGCCACCTACGACCAGATCAAGCAGGTGAGCTCGCCAGCTACGACCAGATCAAGCAGGTGAGCTCGCCACCTACGACCAGATCAAGCAGGTGAGCTCGCCACCTACGACCAGATCAAGCAGGTGAGCTCGCCAGCTACGACCAGATCAAGCAGGTGAGCTCGCCACCTACGACCAGATCAAGCAGGTGAGCTCGCCACCTACGACCAGATCAAGCAGGTGAGCTCGCCAGCTACGACCAGATCAAGCAGGT